TCGTCGTGCCAGAGGCGCTCGGAGACCGGTCCGTCGCTGAGGGACTGGTGTTCTGTGCACGCCTTTGTGGGCAGTGGACTCCACTAATGCGCCGAATGGACCACTTGCACTGGTGCCTGATGTTCCGTCCGAGTTCAGTTAGTGTGGAGCAGACGACTTGAACCAGTTTTATCAAAAGGTGTACTGAGCTAAAGCCATTGATTACTGTATTGATCCTCTGACAACCAAAAGTAAAACATTGTACCATTTTCCTGTAAAACTGATGGGACGTTCGATATGACCGAAGCGCCTTCTTATTCAGCGATGCTATGCAGTATAGGAAGAAAGTGAGACCTATGCGGGCTGTTGATGTTCGGAGCAGAGCCGCCACACTGGCCTGCGGCCGCGGTTGGGCACATATGGAAACACAGAACCACTCAGCCAATCTGCACACACACCCGGCCCCTGATCACCTAATCCCCAAACCGACAGCCTTTGCATATGCATATTTGATGGCATAAATTTACTTATTTAATTCATGTTTCCCGGAGCTTATACAATCCAGTCTACCACATATGAAATATGCAGATCTTGCCGCGGAGCGTCATCAACTTGCTTATGCATGTAGACCATTTCTAGAAAGTTTTTATGTTCTCGACCTTTGAAACCCTATCTCATATCGAGTGGCAGATGTGCCGGGTGTTATTTCGGCCTGCGGTGTGACAGACTGTTGTCGCTGCCAGACCACATGTGTGAGCCGGCGGTGCTGAGGTAGCGGGTCGGACGGTCTGGTCGGCGGGTCTGGTCCCTGTCACGGCCTTATCTCTGCACCCTCCCTCCGCAGTGTGCCCTCCGGCAGCATTCTTCGCGCCGCGGCGACTGATTCATTGTCTGTGGTGCCAGAACCCCATCGAATTCACACACTGACGTCTGACAGCCTCACATACGTCCTGCTGGTGCCAAGAAGTTTGACATCCTCGTGTTACACCAGACAGAATGAACTGTGTAGTCTGGTTCAAACCAGTGCCTCATGGGTGGGAGGGTGGCTATAAATTGTGATGTTGGTTATTAAGTGTGGAAGGAATTACTTCTTTTGGCCACATAGGTATTATTGGGGAGCAGTTCATTTTGCAGCATAAATTATAAGTCATATAACGGTATGGCTCATTTATTTATTAGTAACTTATCCAGATAATAGGGTAATGCCTCTGTTGCGCCTTATCAGGCAACTGCCACATAAAGCAATTTAAATGGATGACTAATCCGGTAGTTGCCTTGGGAACAGACCATGCTAGACTAGATCTTCTTGGGAATGAACAGCGAAGCATGAATTGAAGCTAGGATGCCCCTTTGTCCTAATTCGCCCTAGCCAGTTGTTTTCTTTATTTGCCATTGCGCTCTTGTGCAAAATTCGGAATGCTGACCTTTTTATTTGATATAAAGGTAGGTAACGTGTAACGTAATCCTGGCTGCCATTAGGTAAATGCATTTTTGGGAAATGCTACCAGACCGGTTCAGTTCATTATACTGGTCATTATATTTAGTGATCTAGCGAAGCAGATAAATAGCATGACATTTTCTGGCCGTCTTTTTATTGTGGTGGGATGCCGTTGAGGGACGTAAACCATTTCGTTGAATCTTCTCTTCTTAGCCATGGTCCCACCGATAAGCGATACAGCCCTACAGTTAATACAGATTCAAATGAGTAATTAATTATGTGCTGTTCTTAGCAGGTACCTTACACGTTGGCACTCACAATCTCTCCCTGGTATCGCTCTCTGGTATCTTTTTTCCGTTTCCGTCAGGATCCTTCCTGGACCCCTGACGCTGATTCTATGCCAGTGGGCGGTGCGCCCTCGGCAATATTGGGTCACCTTTGGCTCCAGCACGTTGACTCCGAGTCCTCCTTCCACTGAGGTCCCATACTCTGATGGAAGGTCCCCTGAAGTCCCGGTGCCCGCGTCCCGCTGAAGAGGCCATCTGCTGGGGTCAGCGTCCTCCCGAGAAGATTGCCACTACTTGTCTCCGACAAAGAACGCTCTCTCGCTCTCTCCCCTCCTCCACTCCTCTCCCCACCTTCACTCCTCTCTCCCCTGGCTTCGTCATCGGTATTCGGCCGGCCAACATTGTGAGGTTTGTTTTGCATCCGGTCGCTTACCTCCTGTTTTTCTGCCACATGTTATTTCGACGTCAGACGGTCTCATATTTTCCTTTATGCTCGCAGCCGGTCGGCCCTTTCAAATAATATATGGGAGGTTGTTTATTTTATAAGCGGGCCGACATTCCGGCGCGGCCAGGCGGGCTGACTGGTCGGGCGGGTGCGCCGCACGCACCAGCCCCTTATTATTATCGGCGCTGAGCCGGGTGGGCGCCCCCCCCCCCAAGCTCGCCCCCACCCTTTTGTTGTCACTGGACTGTGTGTTCCGGCGGCGGAGGAGCCGGTGCGGCGGCCATTTTGCCTGTCTAAGACGCCCACAGCAAATCGCATTAGGTGCGAAACTACCTACCAGCCGGCGGCGGCTGCGCCGTTCAAAACGCAGCCCGGGTTTACGCGTCCCGCGACCGCTGCTGCTGCCGCTGCTGCGGCGGCGGTGCGGCTGACGGTGGTGGTGTGGGCCTGTCCCTGGTGACAGGATGGTGTTGGTGCTGGTAGCGGGGTGCGGGTAGTGCTGGTGCTCAGATGAGGTTGATGGGGGTGATGGCCTCAGATGAGGATGCCACATGGTGGTGGTGCTCAGATGATGTTGCGCTGAGATGAAGGAGACGCGTCCCCTCCATCTCTGTGGGACGGTGGAGTCTGGTGCTCACATGAGGCTGCCGCTGATGCTGTTCCTCAGATGTGCTGTCTCTGATGTTGGTACTCAGATGGGACGTGCAAGGGAGAAGCCTCTCCGACTCGGCGGCCGGCTCAGTCGCCGTCTGAGCTCGCGGCCTGAGCTCGCCGTCTGAGCTCGCGGTGATTCCGGGACGTCTGCTTTATGAGATGTTTCTCATGAATTGCCTCCGTCTGCCCACCGAGGGAATATAGTTATATATATGTATATACAGCCGTAATGGCGGTGTGTTCTCCGAAATCACCGCATCGTCGTCGTTTACGACCCGACTTGATAGGCTCCGTGCTTTAATGGGTTCCAGAAATACATGAATTATTTTATGGACGGATGTAGGCGGGCATTAGGTCGGCGGCCAGTGACGATTACTGACATTACGACGGACCGCTTTCTTTGTCCTTGGCGCACACAACATTATTATACGGCGCTCAGTAATCAGTTTTATCTGTACGCTCCATTCGTGGTCTGGCAGCTGTAATTGTCGAAGATATAATATGTTCTGAGGTGAAAGCGGTGGTGGTGCGCCGCGCTGTGGGAAGTATTTCCGGCGTTGGACGCGCCACCCCCCGCGCTGGCCGCCGATCAGAACCGACAGGCGCGCGCCGATTCCCGAGGATTTCCCAACCGACCCACCGCGCTGTCAGTCTCGTCGGCGCAATATTTGACAGCTTGAATCATTGCCAGCGCATGCCGAAACTTTGAGATGAGTTGTCGACAGGTGTGTGAGCGGGCTCTGGCGGCCGGGCCGGCGGTGCCAGCCAGCCGGGACGATGTTTGGGGGCCCCGCGCGCTGCCGGGAGACCGGGCGCATTGTGCATTGTTCTCCCTGTGTCTGCGCAGCGCCGGTCGGACAGATTCGGGCCAGCTTTGGCACGGGCTCCGTGCAGATAATTGTCGCCCGTGCCGGGCTCGGCGGCAGGCGCGGCTGTTGTTCGTATACCGCACACCAGTCGAGCGCCGCCACCCAAACGCGCCCCAAACTTGACTCACGTTTTCAAAAACTTTTAACGCAATTATTTTGCCAATGCCACTAACAAGTTTTTCCATTATTGGATTAAGTACAGCGTGATTTATAAGAATTATGTCGTTTGTTGTTGTTCGACAGAAGTTTAAATTATCGCGATTGTTGGCCAAGTTCCGTCTATTTTTGCCACCTCCGGCCGGGCTGCAGCCGACCCCGGCCCTCCCACTGCGGGGGCCGGTGGAGGGCACGGCGGCCGAGGGCTCCTCTCACCTCTGCCTGTCGGGTGTACCCGTGTTGTGCGTGTACTACCTGACGGTGCCGTGTCAGAGTTGTTTGTCCCGGTCGCGATTGGGGCCGGCCCGCCGCCGCCGACGGTCGGGCGCTCTCCTAACTGTACCTACTCGGCTCGGCAGGCTGTTTTTGTCCGCTTTCTTTGCCGCAATGATTCACTGCTAGGCGCGCCTGGCAAGGAACAGCACTCTCTCCATCGCGCTCCTCACTCTGCCCCGTCTAACTCGACTCTATCTGCCGTTTCCATTCTCTTACCGCCACTTGCTTCTTTTTATGGTTGATATTCAGCTCTCTCTCCTCTCCCTCTCCCTCTCTCTCTCTCTCACTCTCTCTCTCTCTCTCTCTCTCTCTCTCTCTCCCTCCCTCTCGCCCTTTCCTTTTCCTCCATCTCTCCCTCCCTCTGCCCCCTCTTTCCACCGACATTTTTGCTGAGTTGCGTCAGGCCGTCTTTCTCTGGCGCTCCCTGACAGCCTGTTTATTTAGGGGGCTATTTATTTATATTTCGGGCGCTGAGAAACTAGCCTTTGTGTCGAGGCCGGGAACCGTGGGTGATAATGGGATCCACTGTGTATTATTCTATGGTATTTGTTAGCGCCGGCCGTTCCGGAGCTATGCTGTTTACATTTCAAATAAGAGGTTCTCTGCGGGCGTGGGACGAGCTCCGCCGCTATGGACGTTTGCTGGCCGCTCCACCAGAGGCGCTGGCGTGTCCGAACCCCGAGTGCACCCTCCAAAGAGAGCACGATGACGTGATGGTAGCTTTAGGAAAGAAAACTAGCAGACATTGTTTTGGCCTGTGCCCAAGCATGCTCGCGGTTCTCTTACATGGGATGACGGAGGGTTTACCCTCTCACCATGTTTCTTATTTTCACCTTCTACTTACTGACTGAGCTGATTGTCACCGGCCGATATTAACTCTGTGTCTCTGTTCGCAGGCGATGATGATGGAAAACAACTCGAGCTCGTGGAACTCGCCACCAGGTAAGCACTCCCCGATAGGTCCACAAACTGGCCATCGACCGAACCTTTACTTTTCGAGTGTCCATTCTCGAAGTTAGACGTATGCAAATGTTTATTTCGTCTTGCTTTCTTAGTATAGAGGGCCGAACTTCTATCGATGTTGAGACTGCATTGCCGCAGCGACCTCTCTGCTCCTCACTGGGCTGACACCATTTCCATGGACATTTTTCATATAGGGGAGGGTGTGCATCTGATCACAATCACACAATCACAAACCATTCTCGGGGTAGCACCGCCAGTTGGCATGTTAGACCATACTGAACGGTGACCCCGCTCCCCCCCCCCGCCCCCCTGCTCCTTTACCAGGGTAACATTCAGGTGCCAACTCCGACAATATTGATATATGCTAATGCCACGCAAAACTATATAACTGCGTTGCGAAGTTGGGCGGCGGCCGAATGACGGTACTGTCTTATGGTGGGTTCGCCGCGGCCCTTTGTGACAGGACCCGTCACAAATTCAGATAATGAACCACCAGGATGCGAGACAAAGTCGAACATTTGTTCCCGTGTAGACAGGAAACTTCACACTCGTACCTAACACTGGGAACTTTCTGGCACGGTGCATATGTGAGCCGCTGAAACTGTGTGTATTTTATGAAAATGATTGATTTCCATAACACGATTTGTTTAGCATTCTTGTCTTTGTTTGGATGTCATATCCAGATAAATTACGGTTCTGTAGCGAAGCATAGTTGCGTCATTCTCAACTCGCTCAAAGTGCACTGCAGCTCTTTGTTGTATGTAGGCAGGTATGATGTATCTATACATTTGCAGCTGATTTCGCGGGCAGAAAACTCAGCTGTGGTCGTATCATAATCCTGGCTGGTCCAAACACCTGTCTGTAGCCTCAGCCGCCCCAGCAGGAGCACCCGTTACCTCAACAGTAGCACCTATCTTAGCAATAACACCGTCACTCCACACCATGAAAGGGGCTGACGTGCTTGGACTAGCCGGCCGGACACCAGTAGCGCCTCTCACCAGCCGGGCTGAGAGGCTGACAATATAAGCAGCACTACTAGGGCCGCTTACAGCATCACCAGCCGGTCTTACGGCATCACCAGCTGGCCTGACAGCATCACCAGCCGGCCTGACAGTAGCACTAGCCGACCTGACGGTGGCACCAGTCGACCTGACAGCAGTGGCAGCTCTCACTCGTGTGCACTGTGCAGCACCACCCGAGCTGACGGCAGTAACACCTCTTGCCACCCGGACTGACGGCAGTAACACCTCTTGCCACCCGAGCTGACGGTAGTAACACCTCTTGCCACCCGGGCTGACGGCAGTAACACCTCTTGCCACCCGGGCTGACGGCGGTAACACCTCTTGCCACCCGGGCTGACGGAAGTAACACCTCTTGCCACCCGGGCTGACGGCAGTAGCAGCCGGCAGGCCGCCGCCCTGTTCACGCCTCCTCCGTCCGAGCCGCCGCGCCGTCCCACAAAAACGCGCCGACACGCCGTTTGTTGATCCAGTTTGGGCTGATCGCGCGGACCGGCCGGCGGCGCCATTGCGGTGCTATCTGAGGGGAAGGGTGCAGTGCACGGGGGAGGGGTATGCACCGCCGCTGCCTGGGTGGGAGCTGTGTCTCATGGGCTCCGGAATAGGTAACGGACGAGGTAGAGCCTAGAGGTAATGTGTGCGAGAAGCTGAGGATGCAAAGGAATCGGACAGAATGAAACCTACGGTCTATGGGGCTGTTAGAATGGAATGGTTATGGTCGGCAATGGACAATGATAAAAGGGCGAGATACAATGATAAAGGCCGGGAAGTGCAGTGCATGTTAATTGTCAGCAGCACTAGGGCCCAACTTAAACGTAAGCTTTCGGTGTTCAAGCCTTTGCATGACTTGAGGCGTCATATAGCTGCAGCCCTGCACCCTTGCTACCTACATAGAGCATCTGTCCGGAGCTGCAGCCTGTCCGGAGCTGCAACAGCCCCGGAGCTGCAGCAGCCCTGCTGCAGCCCACAGCCTCACTCGGCCTGCTCAGCCAACTTCCCCTCCGCGCCACCATAATTTTAATAACATCCGCGCACTGTTGATGGAATTTCCGACGTCCAATTTTGCTAGTTGGATTTAATTTAGTCGATAAGGCCAATGTTCACTTGATTCCGGCTAACTTGGCTAACGCGGCGCTGTGAGCATGTTTGCACTGCGATAAGGGCTGGCCGACATTCCCTGGCGACACACCCAGTCTTGTAAAATAAATACCGAACTTGTAACTACCTATCGGCGGCGTCCGGCTCCGCCGCAAGGCCGCTCTTTGTTCTCCGAGCTCCGTGTTTTATTGAAGTTGTCGTTCAGCTGGCTGAAAACGGTGCAATTCGCCGGGATGCGGCCCTTTTGGGGCTGGGAAACGCTGGGAATCGGTTCTGAACATTCATCTGTCGCGTCGGATGGGTGTCCTTAGGTGCACAAGATTTGGTGTATGGCTCAGAAATAGGTTGTGGCTGAATGCTTCTGTAGCATTGCTGCTTAGTTTTGTCTTGTGTTATTTAGTTTCATCGATCTACTGTATAACTGGTCTCGGTATTAGTCGTATTAGTGCAGTGAAACACAATACAATAGAAAATGCACAGTTGTGCACAAATACAAACACAATAACTAGATGCGTGAAAATTGAGATTTGCTGCATTAGTCACTTTAGTCATACTGACTCAGCCTGCTTCACATGCAGACTTATCCTGATGATTCTAACTACGTTTCACTGGTCTGATTTAGTTATTTGTGCAGATCATGGTTTATTCAATTGGCTGAAGTCCCGGTTAATTAGGCCGGCTCGGAGTCTCGTTGGGATGTCTCGGAGTCTCGTTGGGATGTCTCGGAGTCTCGCTGGGCCAGCTCGAAGTCTCGTTGGGATGGCTCGGAGTCTCGCTGGGTCGGCTCGGAGTCTCGTTGGGCCGACTCATTGGCTGGAATCAGACTGTGTGTCGGAGCAGCGCTCAGCAATGACACAGCCAGTAGCTCGGGTTCAATCAGCTGCGTGTCACCTCGTGTGTCAGCTCGTGTCACCACTACTGTGTCAGATCGTGTCACATCGTATGAGCCCGTGTCACCACTCCGCTGTGTCAGCTCGTGTCATAGGCGGCGGAACGAGGAGGGCACCGCCACCGGGGCACCGTGCCCCCCTTTGATTTTGGCATTTTAACATAAGCCCTATGTACGTTGCATGGAAAGAATGGGACCAAATGTCGGCAGTGCCCCCCCCCCCCCTCTTAATTGAAGGTGTTCCGCCGCTACTGGCTCGTGTCACATCGTGTGTCAGCTCATGTCACATCGTGTGTCAGCTCATGTCACCTGTACCCCTGTCATCACCAGTGTGTGCGGTCTGTTGGACAGCCTCATGCCGACGTCTGTCTTCTGTATACCTATCGGCGTGCTTGCTAGATCCGTTACAGGCCCGTCGCGACCGGCCGTTGTACTGACTACTGACTGACTGATTGGCTGATGACTGAATGTCTCTCTCTCTCTCTCTCTCTCTCTCTCTCTCTCTCTCTCTCTCTCTCTCTCTCTCTCTCTCTCTCTCTCTCTCTCTCTCTCTCTCTCTCTCTCTCTCTCTCTCTCTCTCTCTCTCTCTCTCTCTCTCTCTCTCTCTCTCTCTCTCTCTCTCTCTCTCTCTCTCTCTCTCTCTCTCTCTCTCTCTCTCTCTCTCTCTCTCTCTCTCTCTCTCTCTCTCTCTCTCTCTCTCTCTCTCTCTCTCTCTCTCTCTCTCTCTCTCTCTCTCTCTCTCTCTCTCTCTCTCTCTCTCTCTCTCTCTCTCTCTCTCTCTCTCTCCCTTTCCCTTTCCCTTTCCCTTTCCCTTTCCCTTTCTCCTTCTCCTTCTCCTTCTCCTTCTCCTTCTCCTTCTCCTTCTCCTTCTCCTTCTCCTTCTCCTTCTCCTTCTCCTTCTCCTTCTCCTTCTCCTTCTCCTTCTCCTTCTCCTTCTCCTTCTCCTTCTCCTTCTCCTTCTCCTTCTCCTTCTCCTTCTCCTTCTCCTTCTCCTTCTCCTTCTCCTTCTCCTTCTCCTTCTCCTTCTCCTTCTCCTTCTCCTTCTCCTTCTCCTTCTCTTTCTCTTTCTCTTTCTCTTTCTCTTTCTCTTTCTCTCTCTCTCTCCTCACTTCCCTCCTGTCTTCCTCCATGGCCCTCCGGATTCCTCTTCTCTACGGAATACCTACCTGTCTCGGAGCTGACGGGCGACGACACCATCCGCATGTAGTGGACTCCTCTCCTCCTCTCCCTCCGTTAGAGACGTGTCTGCTGTGAAGAGTGATATCCAGCGTCTCACATCAGTACACCGAATGTTTGTTTTTTAATTGTAAGGTTCTCACACTGAACATTCTTCTTGCTTTCTAATTCTACGTATTTATGTAAATATGATTTTAACAGTTTCCTAAATTTTGAATGAAAGTAGCACGTCCATTACCTATATTTGTTCGCAAAAAAAGATAATACAAACCGACAATGTTCACTGGTAGGTATACTGGCGTCCACTGTCAGCCAGGAACTGGTATGTTTTAATTTCGGCAGCTGTCACTTTTATGCGAGTATGCTTACATGTATTGTGGCAATGATAAAGGTATGTAAATGCAGGCCTTATGTTACTGAATTCACCTCCATGCGCACTCGAAAGAAAATGCCAAGGCTATGGAGCTCAAACTGTTCGACATGGCAGCTCCATACCTTTCATTCAATCACATTGTCTTTTCATTTTGAGCCTGCAAAGCCACATGCCTTTAGTCATGGCGTAATTGCTCGAAATTCATAGACGTTGAATGAGGATGCCTGTTTTGCTAATTTACTGAATGCTATAGCTAGCATTTCCAGGAACTTGTGATGCTGTTATATTCTTTTCATATCAGATTTGTGATATCTATGATATTGATGACCTAAGGCTATGTTTATGACCAGTAATTATAATCTTAAAAAAGGTACATATTTGTTTGATGGCTAGTGCTTTTGGTATGCCCGTCTAATACGATAAC